ATAAGTAATTCTAAAAATAAGCTAAATAGGCGTTTATATTATTTTCTCTTAAAGTGTAGTAGAATAGTGTAGCTTCTTTCTATATCTATCTAGAAAGTAATTATAACTATAGGCTAATACGCTAAGTTATAGTTAAGATAATTACTCTCTAGGTAGTTAGTAATTCTAAGGCTATAGTAGCTTATATAGTTATTTCTATTTATATATCTCTAGTTACTATTCTTATCTATAAAGGCCTGTATATATACTATTATAGCTATAGCCTAAGTAATAATTCTGCTTTAACGCTGCTTATCTAATAGCTTCTTACTATCTTCTCTCTTATTATCTCTTATACACTTTAAGCCTAAATGTATATAGGTTTGTTAGTCTTAGCAAAGCGTAAAATAGATGTAATATAATAGGTATAGCAAGAGCGCGTAGTTAGAGAATAAGAGAATAAGACTATAGTATTACTAGCTAATAGTTATTAATAAGAGACTTAAAGAAGAGTAATACGCGACATTAGAGTATAAGAGAGGCAGCAGTAGTAGTAGTAGCAGCAAAGTTTACTTAGTTGTAGTATTAGCCTATCTTATATATACATCTAGCGCAAGATATATTAGATATCTAAATTGCTTTAACAGCTACTTTGCAAGAAATTTATAGATAGATGCAACGTTTGTTAATGTATTGCGGTGTTAATGTGTTGCAGTGTTACTGCTAGGTAGTTATATTGCTGCTAGCTAGTTATATTACTAAGGCTGTTAGCTGTTATTTCTAATTAGACAAAAAATTATTACCTTCTGCGGGGCTAATGATTTTTTGTCCGCATAAATTTGTCTTTCCGCTGACGAGCTAGCGCCGGCGTCATCCCGCGTGGTGGGGGAAGCTGGGCCCCTCACCAGCTCAAAAGTTGCCAGCTGCCACATCGCCCGACTCTCCAATTGCTTCGTCTTTCTCTCACAAAGCTCGAAGAACATACGCAGTCAATATGAGCGTCCGAACCGTTGAATTGAAGCCTTTCCAGGACCAGAAGCCCGGAACGTAAGTTGACTATACCCAAAAGAGCTGCGAGGTCTGATGAAGCTATGGCGTTGATGGATGATAGCTGACATTCTCCACCACAGTTCTGGTCTCCGCAAGAAGGTCAAGGTCTTTCAGCAGGAGCACTACTCAGAGTCCTTCGTTGCCAGCATCCTGCAATCCATCCCCGAAGGCGTCGAGGGCGCATTCCTCGTCGTTGGTGGTGATGGCCGTTACTGGAACCCCGAGGTCACCCAGACCATTGCCAAGATGAGCGCTGCCTATGGCGTCAAGAAGCTTCTCATCGGCCAGAACGGCATCATGAGCACACCCGCCGCCAGTCACATCATCCGGATACGCAAGGCGACGGGAGGTATCCTCCTCACTGCCAGCCACAACCCCGGTGGTAAGTTCTCCACGACCCATACACTCCTCCCATCTAACACATCCAGGCCCCGACGAGGACTTTGGAATGAAGTACAACCTTGCCAACGGCGCCCCGGCCCCCGAGAGCGTCACCAACAAGATCTACGAAACCTCCAAGACCCTCAGCTCGTACAAGATCGCCGACATCCCCGACATCGACCTCAGCACCATCGGTACACAAAAGTACGGAAGCCTCGAGGTTGAGATCGTCCACTCCACCGAGGACTACCTCAAGATGCTCAAGGACATCTTCGACTTTGACCTCATCAAGTCGTTCCTCAAGGAGCACTCCGACTTCAAGGTCCTCTTCGATGGCCTGAGCGGTGTCACTGGCTCATACGGTGTTGACATCTTCGAGAAGGAGCTCGGCATCCCCAACAGCACACAAAACTGCGTCCCCAAGTCCGACTTTGGCGGCCACCACCCCGACCCCAACCTTGTCTACGCCAAGTCGCTGGTCGACGCCGTTGACAAGAACGGAATCCAATTCGGTGCTGCCAGCGACGGCGACGGTGACCGAAACATGATCTACGGCGCAAACTCCTTCGTCTCGCCCGGTGACAGCTTAGCCATCATCGCACACCACGCCGAGCTCATCCCATACTTCAAGAAGCAAGGCATCTACGGTCTTGCCCGCAGTATGCCAACATCTGGCGCCATTGACCTTGTCGCCAAGAAGAAGGGCGTCGAGTGCTACGAGGTGCCCACCGGCTGGAAGTTCTTCTGCGGTCTCTTCGACTCTGACAAGATGAACATCTGCGGTGAGGAGAGTTTCGGAACCGGCAGCAACCACATCCGTGAGAAAGATGGTCTGTGGGCTGTCGTCGCGTGGTTGAACATCTTGGCTGGTGTGGGACAGCAGACTGGAACCACACCCAGCATTGCGTCGATCCAAAAGGACTTCTGGACGACCTACGGCCGCACATTCTTCACCCGCTACGACTACGAGGGCTGCGAGACCGAGGGCGCCAACAAGGTCACCGCCCACATGAAGGAGCTCATCACCACCAAGAAGGACGAGTTCATCGGCTCCACCGTCGCTGGTCGCAAGGTTCTCGAGGCCGACGACTTCTCCTACACCGATCTTGACGGCAGCGTCAGCAAGAACCAGGGTATCTTCGTCAAGTTCGACGACGGTAGCCGCATCGTTGTTCGTCTGTCCGGCACAGGCAGCAGCGGCGCCACCATCCGTCTCTACATCGAGAAGCACACCAGCGACGAGTCGACATACGACATGGACGCGCAGGACTACCTCAAGGACAACGTCAAGCTCGCGACGGACCTCCTCAAGCTCCAGGAGTACGTTGGCCGCACCGAGCCCGATGTCAAGACCTAAGCGCGTCGTTGGAATGGGGAACGCGTAAATGTAATAAGCATGATTAGACGAATGTACACGAGATATCACAATAGTAACATAGCACCAATGAATGGAATAGCATGGCTGACTGCCCCGTGGCGATAATGTTGTTCGTCATGACCTCGTTGTGTTTGGGCGGATGTGTGGCTTAGCTCCGACGTCATTGCCCAATCTAAACATGCTCCGTCCGCAGCGTCTCCATAACAGCCCTCCGTCCCCACTGCGAAGGTCCCTAGTCTTCGACAACCCCCGCCTTTCACGCATCCCTACACGCGCGTCTACACCTGTCGACGCTTTCTTTTAACTTCTCTCACCTCTTCCACTTATATCTGGACACGTGCATCACAATATGGCTGAGAAAGAAGGATCGGCAGTGCCACCCCAGGCCAGAGGCTCATGGACGAGCTTCCTCAAGGTATGGAATTATCCCAGCATCCTCACGTGTCTAGAGACATTTGCGCATAGCGACATGCTCGTAGTTTTAGGACACCATGGTGGTTCGACTCGAACATGGCATTTGTCTAACACACGATAGTCCATCGCGTCCTTCAATGGCGACCTGTCCACGATGACGGCGCCTGCCTTTATCCTCTCCACAAAGTCGCTCACCGAGTTCTCGTACGTCTAGTCATATCCGCCACCCAGGAAGCAACACTAACCCACAACAGCTCATACTGGACCGAACACCCCTCCGTCTTCGTCGCACCGGCCGCCGAGAAGGACCCTGCCAAGCGGGCCATGCTGGTGCTGAAGTGGTTCCTGAGCACACTGAAGCAGCAGTACGCCAGTCGGTCGGAAAAGCTGGGTAGCGAGAAGAAGCCGCTGAACCCCTTCCTGGGCGAGCTCTTCCTGGGCAAGTGGGAGGACCAGGCAGGCACAACACAGCTCGTCAGCGAGCAAGTCAGGTACGCGCACACACGCGTTTGCGATGGCTCAGCCTGTCGTAAGCATGCCACGCGTATAGGACGGGAGAGCTAATGCAATGCGCGCAGTCATCATCCACCCGTCACGGCTTACTCCATCTGGAACGACCAACACGGCGTCCGGCTGGAGGGCTACAACGCGCAGAAAGCGTCCTTCAAGACCACGATTAATGTCAAGGTGAGTATTTCTGGTAGATTCATGTACACCGCTAACATTCACAGCAAATCGGACATGCCATGCTCCACCTCGACAACTACAACGAAAGCTACCTCATCACCCTCCCCGCCCTCCACATCGAAGGCCTCATCACAGGCTCCCCCTACGTCGAGCTCAACAGCAGCACCTACATCCAATCCTCCACCGGCTACACCGCGCGCATCGACTACAGCGGCAAGGGCTGGGTCTCCGGAAAGAAGAACTCGTTCACCGCCGTGCTATACCCCGAGGGCAAGGAGAAGGAAGCCATCTACAAGGCCGACGGCCAGTGGACCGACTCATTCCAGATCAAGGATGCCAAGACCAAGGCCGTCGTGGACACTTTCGACCACAAGTCCACAAAGACAACGCCCCTCACCGTCGCCGCCATCGAGCAACAAGACGACTTCGAGACACGGCGCGCGTGGAAGAAGGTGTCGGATGCGATTAACAGTGGCAACATGGACCTGACAAGTGCGGAGAAGACCATCATCGAGACCCGCCAGCGCGAGATGCGACAACAAGAGAAGGAGGCTGGCAAGGAGTGGGAGCGCAAGTTCTTCTCAAAAGCACCAAAGTACCCGTTGTTCGAGCAGCTGGCCAAGAAGATTGGCGAGGGCATCAATGATGGGCAGACGAATGGTGTGTGGAACTTTGATAAGCAGAAGGCGGATGCGGCGAAGAGCCCGTTTCACCCGGATGTTGTGCCGCCGATTTATGAGAGGAAGTGAGGGTAGGACATCGTTCCTTTAAGGCATACATGTTTAGTCAGATCATCATGACGGATGAGTATAATGATGCTTTCCGTGTGACCACAATTTTACGGAAGTCGGGCTAGGGTGGGACGGAGTCGTAATACACAGGAACGAGCGACTTGTCCGGAACCATGCTGTCCAAGCAATGACGCATGCGGTCTCACAGCCTCAGGAGCATCTATTTCATTGCTACAAGTACTCTAGTACTACCAAGAACGAAAAGATTTGTCTTTCACAATTGTTGACGTCTGAATCTATTTTACAATTCCCATTGATGGGTGATGATACAGGTACTTTTACACATGCGCTCGCGAGCGAAGCTTGGCTGTTGAACCCGCTTATTTTGAAACGTCCTTTGAATCCGTCCTCTTGTCGTTGCCGTGTCGCTGCCAGCATTGTCGGAAGATTTCCATCTGAATTTCATGTTAGCATGCGCGTCTGAAGACTATCCTACTTCTTTCGGCGAATCCTCGGCTCATCCAAGGTCCAGAGGCCAGAAGCAACAACGCTGGTTGACGAACTTACCTCCTGCTTACAAGCCCGCCAATCCTTCTTCTCGTAGTAACAATCCGTCAATTTTGCATTTTCATCGGCACAGCCGGTGCTGTAGATGCGCTTGTCCCTGCGAAAACTTGGTTAGCTTGCTCGCTTCTTGGGCGTACTTTTCTCTGCTCTCAACTGGTGTTCCCCGGATCTCCGCATGTACCCAAACCGAAAAAGCTGGAATTTTGTACGCACCAGTCATCGGGTTCATCGTCAATCAACAACTGTGCTGCTGCTGCGCGGGATTTATCGTCGTTTGACATACTTTAAAGAGTTGGATAGAGGAATTGAGACGCGTGGTGTGAGGATATCGAGTCGTGGAAACTTGCGCAGGGTCTTGTCATTGAGAGAGTTCATTTGAGCACGGTCGGCCAAACTCGGTCCGCACTACTACCAAACGTCACCAACAGTCAGTCAGCATACGATTTGCACATCGCATACCAATACCGCCAACATCATGGCGAGCAAAAAGATGAATGTGCTGGTATACTCCGGTACGCCTTTTCAAACTTCCACATACCCCCACCAAGATTACTAAGCCAGCCTAGGCAACGGCAGCACCACAGAGTCCGTCCGCCACTGTCTCTACACTCTACGGCGCCTCCTATCCCCATCTTACGCTGTCATCCCCGTAAAAGGCGACACCCTCATCAAAGAACCCTGGTTCAGCACATGCGCCCTCCTCGTCTTCCCCGGCGGCGCCGATCTAGGCTACTGCCGCACGCTCAACGGCGAAGGCAACCGCCGGATTAGTCGGTATGTAAAAGCCGGTGGTTCCTACCTTGGTTTCTGCGCCGGAGGATACTACGGTAGCAATAGATGTGAATTCGAAGTCAACGACCCCAAAATGGCTGTTGAAGGAGAGAGGGAATTGGGGTTCTTTCCTGGGACGTGTAGGGGACTGGCGTTTGAGGGGTTCAAGTATGCGAGTGAAGCTGGGGCCAGGGCGGCGGAGATTAAGATTGAGAAGGGTGCTTTTGAGGGGGTGGATGAGGGGGTTGGGGATGTGTTTAGGAGCTATTATAATGGTGGGGGTGTTTTTGTTGATGCGGGGAAGTTGGAGAGTAGGGGGGTGCAAGTTTTGGCTAGTTATACGGAGGATCTGCATGTTGAGAGTGGGGAGGGGAAGGCGGCCGTTGTGTATCGGAAGGTGGGTGAGGGACATGCTGTTGTTACTGGGCCGCATCCTGAGTAAGTCTCTCTCAATCGTCTGAAGCGTTGTTGCTAACACACCTCAGATTCGCGCCCCAGAACCTAAGCAAGATCCCCAGCTTACCTTCGTATGCCACCGTCATCAGCGACATCGCCGCTACAGATGCTACTCGACTTGACTTTATGCGCTTGATCCTTCGCAAACTTGGGCTGCAGGTCAACGAGCAGGAACAAGCGGTACCGTCCCTTTCCCGTCTGCATCTCACCGCTCATAACATATCAGACGTTGCTTACCTCGTCGCTACGTGGCGTGAGATCATCACTGTAGTCGATGGGGATGAGTACATCAAGGGCGAGAACGATGTGTTTCGCATTGAGAAAGAGGGGAGTGCGTGGAGCGTCAAGGAGTTGAAGAGGGCTGTGAGCGCTGTGTCGGAGAAGCTGCCTACTCTTGCTTCTGTTACGAGCAGTAGTAAGGAAGATGTTGAAGAACAAGCCCAAGAGAAAGACCCAAAGGATAAGAAGCCCAAGACCCCCGAAGAAGAGATACAAGACTGCATCACCTACACATCCACCACGCTCCCCGACCAAATCGTCTCCTACGAGAAAATCATCAAAGTCATAACCCCCCACTCGAAAGCCCTCCCATCACCCGAAGAAACCCCCTTCCACCACGAATCCTTCTACGCAAACCTCCACCACTACCACACCAAGCTCCGCAACCCCGCCGCCTCCTTCGGCAAACACCTCATCTACGCCGACGTCGTAACATCCACCAACACGCTCCTCGAGAAGAACCCGTCCCTCCTCCGCAGCCTACCGAACGGCTTCACCATAACAGCAACCACGCAAATTGCGGGGCGCGGCCGCGGAAACAACGTTTGGATCGCGCCGCCGGGCGCACTTATGTTTAGTACTGTGCTGCACCATTCCTTCACGTTGAGTCAGAGCGCGCCCGTGGTGTTTGTGCAATATCTTGCTGCGCTGGCTATTGTACAGGGGATTCAGAACTACGCACCCGGCTACGAAAAAATCCCCGTAAAACTAAAATGGCCAAACGATATCTACGCGCAACTCCCCGGCTCGTCCAACAACCCCGTTGTTAAAATCGGAGGCATTCTGGTGAATAGCAGTTATTCTGGTTCTACCTACGATGTCGTCACGGGTATCGGATTGAACCTGAGTAACGCGTTACCGACTACGAGTCTAAATCAATTGGCCAAGGGGTGTACGCCGCCGTTGAAGGATTTCACCCCGGAGAAGTTGCTGGCGAGTATACTTGCGCATTTTGAGACGCTGTACAGTACGTTTACGCAGAGTGGGTTTACGAGGGAGATGGAGGAGTTTTATTATGCGAATTGGTTGCATACGGATCAGTTGGTGACATTGGAGAGTGTGGAGGGTGGTGGTGGTGGGGCGGGTGGGTATAACGGTGGTGGTGGTGGTGCGGTGAAGGCGAGGATCAAGGGGATTACAAGGGATTGGGGGTTGTTGCTGGCGGAGGAGGTTAGGGAGGTGGATGGACGGGGGACGGGGAGGGTCGTGCAGGTGCAGAGTGATGGGAATAGCTTTGATTTTTTTAGGGGGTTGGTTAGGAGAAAGGTGTAGATTTGGTGGCAGAGGGTAGGTTGGTGGAGGAGGGGGGTGTACGATGAGCATGTGTGATGAATGATGAGGGTATGAGGATACTAGCTGGTATGCCTAGATGAAAGGGCAAGGCTTCTATGATCATTCAGTGTCCTCTATGGCATTCTGACGTCTCTTTTCATCCTGATCTCTCTTGCGCCTCGCAGCTCGACAAATGTCCATCGAGCCAAACCCAGTCAATAGCGTATCCAGAATCCCATAGACCGCCAGTCCCCGCCATTTATCCATGCCGTCCCCAACGGATAAACCACCAGCCTGGGCTCAAGCTCGTCGGATCTTATGAATCTAGCGCACAGCCTCTTCTCCTCGTAGCAACAGGGGCAAGCCTCGGAATACGGAACCAGCGCTGGTTTAGGTTCCTCTGGTTCGGGCGGGTGAGGTGCGTTGAGTAGACGATATACACATGTGTCCGCATCGTTCACTTCTTTCATCATTTTTCGATATTGTGTCCTGTGCTTCGACTTCCTCAGGAAGTCGTGGTTGAACTTACGGGTCATTTCTTTGACGAATGCGATTGGAAATTCGTCCATTTCGTTGAACTCGAAGCCTTCTGCGGTGGGTACCCGGAAAAGTACGTCGATTTCAGGCAGGAAAAGACTTTCGGATGTAGCTGAAGGTCTGTCCCGAATGCCTCCGCAAGTTAGCTCTGTATCAGCGAACTCTTCGGTATAGTCTTCGTCGCTGCTGCGCCCATCTTCGCTGTCGGTGAGGCTTAGATCGAGCATGACCGATTCCTCTTGGATTTCTGTCCAGGGTGTCACTCTGATTTCATCGGGGGTGGCATCGGTATCGCTGTTGGTGTCCCCGGCGGTGTTGGCATCTCCTTCTGTTACATCACCGACGATGATTTCCGCCTCCCCCTCCTCATCTGAAATCTGTGTCTGGACCTGGTCTTCTTCCTCTGTCTCTGACTCCGGGCTTACGGCTCTTGTCCTCTTCCCTGCTCGCGCAAGATTGCCTCCTCTTCTCTTCAGTTTCACAATCAATGATGGAGTTGCTCTCGCTGTTGGGGTCTGCGCTGGCTGTGACTGTGGAAGTCGCGCGGATCGCGAATCTGTCTAGCCGTTAGCCGTCATATCGCGACTGATCGCACTCGCACTCACCTTTGCCTCCGCGTTTTGCACGCCTGCGAGGAGTCCGGCCTTTGTTGCGGACAACATCGTCGCTGTCATCAGCGACGTCGCCGCCATCCTTGTCTTCCACCGGTGCTACCCCACCGCCTGCTTGAGTCGCTGCAATTTCTTCAAACAACTGTGTCGCAATGGTATTGAGGCTTTCTCTGGAAACGCCAGTCTTGAGTCCGCAGGTGATCACGTCGATGAGTTCTTCGCCGCTCATGCCTACGAGAAGACCACTTCTTGCAGCTGCGAGGGCAGGGTTGCCCGATAGGGCCAAGAGCGCGTCGTGGTAGTTTTGGACTGTTGACATGGCGATTTGGTGGATTGAATGGGGTTGGCGGGAGTTTGTGGAGGTAAAGAGTGTGGGAGATGGGGAAGAAGCTGGCGAGAGAATACAAGGTGGAGGTGAGTCTGAACGCGGCGCTAGTCTAGTCGGTGAGTGACACGGCGACGAGCGCACCTTTACCTGCGCATCGATTCTGATATGAGGCTTTCAGGATAAACACGTTATCTACGGTGACGGAAAGGTATGAGACGCTTCTGCATTGTTCACTTATTCTCCTCAACTGCTCGATGTACGAAGGAACGTGTTGATCAAGGATTGTATTTCCACAGCCATCGACTAAAATTTATCTCAGAAGACTACGTCGACTTTTCCATCTTCGAACTACAATGAAGAAGTCTTTGTATACGTCTAGCCGACATCTGGAAACCGTCATCCTCTCCGTGTATGACCTGCTTTAATCGATTTCTTCGTAGCCGTGTGACAAACTCACCCGTCAAGAGTGCTCAAGAACGCACCCAATAGTCCAACGAGTTTATCATTGCCCTTTGGCGATATTCATGAGGTAAGGGCAAAAAGACAAGCTTGATCACTTTCTCTATTCGCTGTAGCCGAGCGCACAAGCGCTTGGTCCTAATGCACCGATCGCAGGCCTCGTTGAAGTGTCCTGTTCGTACACCGGGCTGCTTCGCTCTCATAATAAGGTTCTTGGAGATGCGATACTTCTCTCTTTGTAGAGTATCTTCTTGCGTATAAGTTATATAAAATGCAGGAGGTATAGTTAGCTTATTATCTCTAAGTTATCTCTAAGTTATTATAGTACTATAAGATAGTAATACTAAACTATAGGCTTTAAATTTTATATATATAGTAATAAGTTAAAAAGAGAAGTATATAAAGCGTACTATAGTATCTTTATTACTTTTATAATATATATATAATTATACTACTTATATCTTTTTCTTTTATAATAGTAATTATTTTTATAATTATTTACTTTAATATTTACGCTTGCCTAGTCTACTTTATAACTTTATATCTTACTAGTAAGCTTATTATAAGAATACTTAGTATTTATTAGTAACTTTGCCTATTACCTTTAGCTTAAAGAATATAAAATATAAAGTTATACTTACTCTTTCTAAGTACTTAGATAAGTATATATAATACTTATTTATTAAATATACTACTTACTACTTATATAAAGATAACTTTAGTAGCTAAAGCCTTTTTTCTAGCTAAGAGATTAGCTATATAAGGCCTGCTTTTTTACCTTTAATAATACGCCTACGTACTTACTTTAGTAAAGACTACTTTTATAGGCTAGATTAGCTTCTATAGTAATAATAAATAATATATAAGAACTAATATTATTTTTATACTTTATAGTCTGTAAGTTCTAATATAGTATAGAGTTTAAGCTGCTTAGGCTGTCTACTTAAGATAGTAAGAACTAGTATATAAAAGGTAATATTACTTAGCATAGAAACTAGAATTAAGTAATAAATTATATTTTAGAATAAATTTAACATATTTAATTGTATAGGGCCGAAGCGCTCTTATAATAACAGTATCGTTAACACAAAGTTTGGTGATAGCTCCCTTTTCTCGTAGTCTGAGAAACTTACCCCACTCTAATATATGAAGATCGGTGGAAAGGTAATCTTCAGCAAACTTTGAGCTGAATAGGGTGGCCGGGTCGAGGCCCTTATACTCATTGTAGTGAAATGCAAAGCCAACGTAGTAGACTTGCCAGACTGCGATCTTGATGGGCGGAACGATCTTGTTGTCTATCATCTGCTCCTTCTCACAGTCTCGAAGGCTTATCATTTTGGCGGAGGCACCAGCTTGCGTGGCGACTACGGTAGGAGCATTGACCCTGGAACGTTTGCTGATGACAGAGCCGGGAGATAGTGGAGGTTCTCGCTTGCTTGATACCGACGTGGCTGGTGTTGCTGGTCGGTCTGATGCTGGTCGACCTGATGCTGGTTGATCGCTCATCACCATGATGTCGTTCTCAGCTAGGGTATTGTCAGTAAACTACTTCGCGACCTGCTTCAGGCTACTCACATTGCTGCTGAGCACCGTTTCCTTGATCTTGCTCAATCTTGACGCTAGCTGTCGCGCGAGCGACACTGCTACCGTCACCGTTGACTGAATCCGGGTCCCGTGCGATGACGTCCAGAATGACCGAAACGATGTCTTCCAAGCCACCGCGCGCAAACTCTCTTGCCACGGCCTTCTTGAGTAGTTCCGAAAGGTCTTCGTCATTGATGCCTTGGAGCAGATGTTGGCGGGGTGTGGCAAGCTGCTCGTTTCCGGAAAGCGCGAGCAAGGCCTTGAGGTAGGAATCGACGGTCAACATGGCGAGTAATTCTGAGGGGAAGGCGATGTAGGGTGGAAGGTGAAGGAAAGAGTGGTGTTGCGGCGGACTGCGCGCCGCGACGCAGCGGAGCTAGCGGTGGTGACGCGCGGATTGGGAAAGTGCAAACGGACGAGGTAACGCGCACGCATTGCCCAGGTGGTAGAAAGCGAACACTATTAAATGAGGCAGAGAGAATCAAAACACGGTGTAAGACCGATGTTCATCAGCGAACTCATCGTAAGCGCCGTATCCGTCCCTCCTCTACTAGCTATCGCAGCCTGGGGATAGGCCCCTTGAGGTCGGGCTTCTCGTATTTGAAATCAATCTTGAGGTCTGGTTGCCAGAATCCCATGTCAACGGCCGGATAGCAGCTTCATACACGCCAGCGAGGCCTTTCTGGGAAGAGACGGCGGGCCTGAGCAGCATATCTAATGCTACTCCTCTCCAAGTAGGCGGCCTGACCAGGACCACGAGGGTGAAATTCGTGCATTGAACCTCGCGTAGCACCTCTAGTGCGCGCCCTCTCCAAGTAGCTGAGCTGACCGGGACTATGAGGGCGGAATTTGGGCATAAAACCTCTGGATACTGGTTGACTTCCCCCTGCACACGTTGGCCGTTCCTCTAAAGTATCGGGGCGTTTTTGCGCTTCTCGGCTCCGTTTGGCGTTCGAATTGGCTGACACTGATGCTGTCGTTGACGAGCCCAGGGTTTGAGCAAGCTCGCTGTCATCTACTTTAAGGCCTACATCAGTAAAGATTACGGTAGCCTGAGGATAATCACATTGTCTTACGTTTGAATCTCATCATGGTGACCCCGTTGTCGTCGTCTGACTCTTCTTCCATCTTGATCACGACCTCACCATCTTCATCGGCTGCTTCATGCTTCACCGCGACTTCGTTCTTGCCCTGTATATCATGCGCGAGCTCCGAGCGCGAATCCCTTGATATGACACCTAGCATGACTAACGCAATTTCCTCTAATCCTTCTCTTTCGAACTCGGACTTCACACCTTGGATAACAACACGCGAAAGCTGATTGTTGCTGAGTTTCTTGAGCATGTCCTTGCGCGTATCGTTGTCTTCATGGTTGTGGAACCGCGCGAGTATGGCTTTGAGATCGCTATCGTAGTACGACATGGTGGGTGGAGATAGAGGGAAGAGATCAGTTGTGCTGTTGTTGTTGTTTGCGACACAGCGCTACGCCAACGTGCTTCCTGGGATGTCTCGAGGTTAGACAAGAGATAAGTGATGACCCCGCGAAGGCGTCAGTGGAAGAGAGTTGGCGTGATCAGATCTCAGAACCGCCCAGGCTGCGAGTATGGTGAACAGAGAAGTTGTTAGCGTTCGTCTCCGTTTCGCGACATGTTTGTCCGAATGCTGTGTAACCGCCATGCAACTGCACCGGGACTAAGCGGACACGTGAGCACGTGACACATCATCCGCGGCATTGTATTACGTGCTAGAAGGCGGTGTCGAACCGCCGAGATCGGTTTGGAAAACGACCCCGAAAGCAAATGCGACAGCCTTCTTGAGCGTGGCGTGAACAATCTAGTGTGGTGTAGTAGCACTTGAGGTCGTGGTGGCTGCTGCTCCTAGATCGTCTGTATTTGGGCAGGAACTTGGCCAAGCATCTGGCTGCTGACAGTGCCCAAGCCCCGCCCGCATCGAGCGCTTACATACGACTAACAAGATGTCGAAGAGTTTGCATCGACCGTCCAGACACCTACTAAGTCAAAATCGAGTCGATTCGAGATCATATCGCGCGAGATACAGATCCGCTGAACGTGGATGACGTCATGCAGGACGCTAGGACCAGTGACAGCATAGCGGCCCGTCAATGTTGGGAGTGCTTCAAACGCCGCCTGGTGTGCGATCGCACTCTGCCGCAATGTAGGAAATGTACCAAGACGGGTAAGGAATGCCCAGGGTATAACGATCAGAAACCGCTGCAATGGGTGGAACCGGGACACGTGACGCTTCGTCCGAAGAAGAAGAAGAAGAAGAAGGAAAGCCGGGCACCAACACCCGCAGTCAGAACGGCAAACTCCGAGAGAATCGCACCCGTCATTTCAAATGGACCCTCTGCTGGCCCTGGGATATCTAGAGCCGCAAGTCTACAAGAGATCCTCGGACAAGGAGGGTGCTCGTGGCTGGTCTCCGAAGAGCTCCAGCTTACCCCGGAAGAGGTCGAACTATCCAAGAGCCAATCTGCCATCAAATTGGTGCAAGAAGACAAGCCGGCATGGTGGCGCTATTCTGGAGTCGAGAAGCCGGTCGACCCCGTTGAGCTACTAGCTGCAGAGGCCGGGGCGGGCTGTGGGGTGGGCGAACGCATCATGTGCATTGGCAACAAAGACCAGATCAAGGAAGTAGTAGAAAGAGGCCAGCACTGGGAAGCCGCACTACTTCTGCAGTCGAATCAGAGGCCTCTTGCAAAGATACAGAGACTGCTGCAGATCATGGAGATGAACAGACTTCCATCTTACGATTTCTTGTCGGATGAGACACACGATGTGGTACAAGCTATCAATTACTGTATGTGCGCAAAGCTAAGCTGAATATCTGTACTAATTCCGATAGTCAACACTAGGATCTATCCGGATATCCAAGAGACGGACTGCCTAGCACCCAATCCAGCAGTGGTTCATTTCCCAGTATGGGCGTTGCATATACTGGCTCCGGCAATGCACTATACGGCTGTCTGCCTGAGTCTTAACTACTACTTGACCTCGTTACCGCTGGGCAAAGACCGTGCTGTCATTGCGGAAAATCGCCTCAAGATATACCATTATCGAGGCCTTGCTATCCGCGCTCTGAATGAGAATGTGGCGAGGAGGAACACCCGCAGCAGTGATCAAACAATCGCCAGCATTCTTATGTTCCTGGCAATGGAGGTACACTCTTACAAATTTGACACGTGCGGGTCCAAAAGGCTGATTGTTCTCTTAGGTACATAGCTCTACAGATGTCGATTGGAGATCGCATGCAGATGGTATGAAGCGACTGATAGTCATGCGTGGCGGGTTTGGATCACTACGACGCACAGTACCTCACATGACATCAGCGCTAGTGATCTTCGTGCTGTTGGTATAACACAACGATTGCGACGAATGTGGCTGACACCGTGCAGCATCGTAACCTTTTCGAACAGTCTTGGTCCAGCGTCGCATCAGATTAGTATCACTGAGCCACTCGAACAGCATATCGAGGAAGTGAAGAAGGTGTATAGCCTTATCCTCCCTTACACACTGTGTCCGTCGACACTCTTCATTGAGATAATCCGCATCAACCGCCTGCGTCAACAGCTCAGCCTCACACCCGTTGTGGATCCGCATCAGTACGCTGAAGATTCACGAAGCATTCTTTCCCGCATCGAATCCTTCTCCCCAAGAGAATGGGCGCAGTCCAGAGATCAAGAAGATGACTGGCAGCTGATCGCATCGATTTGGCAGTCTGCAAGCGCACTCTACTGCATAATGTCCTTGCAAGCTGTTGACATTATTCCCAGCAACACAGAGATGGATCGCATGCGAATGCGACATCGCGATCGTCTACTCAAAGATCTGAAGCCTGCCACGCCCTTGAAGCAGCTCAAGAAGATATCCACATTTCCACTTTGTGTGCTTGGCGTAGAAGCAGGCTATCACGTTCAGCAAAGCACTCAGATCTGGATCGAACGGCACTTGGAGGGTCATGCCCGCCTTCTTGGCAGCAACAGCCCTTTGAAGGCGCGGGAAGTGCTCCGACGATACTGGCGGCGGCAGAAACCCGGTTGGAATGAGTGCTTTGATGAGCCGTAAGTATTTCATGCCGGACGTTTCCAGAGAGATGGCTAATGAGATCGATTTGCAGGTTTACAACTCTTGTACCAGCGGGTGTATGCTGATCCACATGGCGAATCGATGCGGCCCTGAAGTTTATGCATCGGCAGACTGAAGCATGGTTTCGTTGACTGCTTAGGCCAGCCCTGAATCTAGTTTGAATGAATCATCGACTATTGCAAACTTCAGTGCTTCCCAGAACCGGAATCGCCACATTCGATGGGTCACCGAGATGCCGAAGTGCATGGGCACTTGTCGCGGTTTGGCAGTAAAGTAGCGAGCTGAGCTGACTGCATTCAAGGGAATGAAGCGCGACCTAGTGCTGGCCAATGCCAATCCTAGGATGCCATCGCCGCCATTGCTTCTCCTCATTCGTGGCTGTTCGTCTTGGCCCTTCTGACTTCCTAACAGGGTTAGCGCTGATAGCAGGCGGTGTTTGAGGCTACCCCAAAACAGCGAGACTTTCAACAGCGAGCATTAACTAGGAAGAAAGCTTGGCCATATCGCAGTCCGTTTCGGTATAAGTGCGCAGCATATGCCTCATAATGTATGCGCGAATCAAATTAGCCACGACTGCGCTCTACTTCGGTTCTGGCTGGCTATTTTCGCCTAGCAGTTCTTGCTAACGATAGTGTTCACGAATTCGATGTCATTGTGGCTCCGTTGATCACGTCCGGCTTTGACGAGCGCTTGATTCTGATGCGGCCCCCACAACTAGCACTGCGCGAAGGACGCCTCGTCCTCTCCTGTTGCGTCTGCAAGGCTGACCAGGTGGGAAAGCAAGATTTAGTAAAAGTATATATAGTGTACCAGACTCTAGGGAAGCATCTCTATACCATCGACAGGCCGTCACAACCACTGTACCGAAATGTCTTCAAGGACGACCCTTTGCCTCGCGTTAATCGCATGCCTCAACATCGCTGCGACGGCGTCACAATCATCTTTTGAATATACCGAATGCTCCGAGGATTCCGAGAAAATCGCGATCAACTGGACAGATGCGTCCACCGTTCTGGGCAGACCCGACACCTATCTCGGAAAGCTGGCTGTACCTCTTGACTATACGCTGCCCCATTCGAACAACAACACCCTCACCCTCAACATCCTGAAAGTCAAAGCGACCAGAGAGCCCAGGCTAGGGAGTGTGTTGACAAACTGGGGAGGCCCCGGATTGCCCGCAACAGATTGGCTTCTGCAGCAGGCTCGTTATGTTCTTGCGTAAGTTGCTCCTTGCTGTGTAGATGCTGCGTCCAAGGACTAACAGCTCTTCTCGTGCAGCATGACAGGCGGCCAATACGATATCATTGGTCCTGACCCAAGAGGAACTGGTACGACAATGCCCGTAGACTGTTACAACGACGAGATGGAACGGATGGTTGCAGCCTTGCGAACACCCACGAGGACCAACTCTTCTGATGTCGCGTTGGGTGCTATTTGGTCCTACACCAAGCAGTACGCGGCGCGCTGTTTCCAGAACGAGGCAGTGAATGGGTCACTGATGAGCACGGCGTTCGTTGCCAGAGACTTCATGAAGGTTGTTGATGCTCTGACTGTGGAGGGCGAGGATGGTCTTCTCCGGTATTGGGGTGAGTTGAAGATGATGTCTGACATACGGAAGGAGGGGCTAATAGACTCTAGGGATATCATATGGCACGTATCTCGGCCAGGTACTAGCTGCCATGTTTCCCGATAAGGTCGAGCGAATGATGCTGGACGGGGTTTTACACCCGCTCGAGTACCAACAAGGATGGTTGGTGTCTTCCCAGAAATGACTACGATACAAGCTGACCAACGACCAGGGAGACTGGCCCAGCTACTTCCGCGCCTATTGCTCTGAGACAGTTCACAGAACAGTGTATCCACGCTGGGCCCTCCTGTTCCCTCTTTCGCCCCAACCTCTCGTCCTCCGCACTGTACGAACAGATCCAAAGCCTCACCAAAAAAGCCAAGCGCGAGCCAATTGTCATGGGCCCGAACGTCACAACCGATATCGTGACCTACGAGAAGATCGCCGAGGCCAGTGATACGGCTCTGCGCATGGGTCTGACATCCGGACCTTACTTGGCTGGCTATCTCAACAGCATCATGATACGCGATACCCCCGAATACAACCACACCCAGTATTTGATCGACCGCTCCTTCATCATACAGGATGCAGCGATCAATGCAGATAACACGCAGCTCGTCCGTTGCTCCGACGCCATGTTTCGTGCCGACGAGCTTGCCGATGTCGAGCAACGCGTCCAGCACATAACGGAATTGGGTGATTGGAACAGCGATTACGTTATCGGCGCGTATATCATGTGCTCGCTGTGGAAGGTTCAGGCAAAAGAACGGTACGAGGGCGACTTCAAGGCGACGACGAGGAACCCCGTGTTGCTAATCGGTTCGCCGTATGACGTCCGCACTCCGATTTCTGGGGCTTATGCGGCGAATAAGACGCTCGAAGGAAGTGTTGTGCTTCAACACAATGGTCTCGGGGTAAGTTGAAGAGCATTTCTTGGCTTCATGGACGGGCTTGGCTTCATGGACGGGTGTAACGTATTCGGGAGAGAACATCGCTAACGACATTGGTAGCACACGGTTATGTACAGCCCCGGGACCTGTGCCATTACCGCAACCGCTGCATATTTCGTGAACGGAAGTATGCCGGAAGAAGGGACGGTGTGCGAGCAAGACTTTGGTATCTTCTCTGGAAAAAGCTTGAACGATACTCTCGATCTTCTTGGTGGACCTTAGTCTTTCACAATTCGGATTGTGAGACTTCGTGGGGGCAGTGTCGAGATGATAGAGAAGGTGAAGGTTGATTCGTTGATGAGAATTGGATGGTGTGTTCGGAAGCCCATGGCGGGTGATTGCTTCGGCCTGAACGCTGGATGGACGTTTCGTAGCTGCTCGTAAATCTTCCCGATGTGGCTCATTTCTACCGCGCTGCTCTTTTCTCTCGCTCCTCGATAGGCATCGTGAGACGCTCGATGTGCCGCATGTGACTACTCATTGGGAGGTAGAGAAGCTCGAGATACCCCATGTTCCCCGTGCATACTTCTCCCCAAATCTGAAGAGGACTCCGTTAAGTCTGACATATGCGCCGAGCGAGATTGAAGTCTGGCCTGCGCGAAACTTATCGTGCAATGGAAATATACACAGCTTGGGCCCCATGGTGTCCAGAATGACTCTGACACATAGACGCATCCGGCCATTGCAATGGTCACAAGCCCTGTCCTTGTCTCCTTCGGCTGAAGTGTACTTTGATGCGCCTGTGCCGCTGTACAGCCAGTGGCAGACGCACATTCCCCTCTGCATGAAGCGTTCTGCATCCCTCACTATTGACCGATACATTGTCGATATTTTAGGATGCGACATGTAGACTCGATTGAATATTGCGTGGATAACCCTACCGTCACCAATTGATAGGTCATCAAGAGGTAGCCAGGCGCCACCTCCAAAGCTGTTTGGAGCCCATACGCCTATCCTGAGTCTGGGATTTGGATCGGTTGCTGAGGCTGCGGGAAACGTAACGAAGTTCACGTCCGTCGCAGGATTTTGGTCCGCGTACAGCACCATTTCTGGCGCTACTGTATTGCTTTCTTCTTCATCTTTAACAGAATCTTCTAGATCGATGACTGTCGGAAGTATCGCGGGGCGATAGTCGTATGGATGTATGACGTTATCCGCTTCCCACATGTCACTCTCGTAATCGTCCTCGTTCTTGTCATCGTTCTCGTCATCACGTAAGTCGATGGTGTCCAACGATGAGCCACCAATCGGTTCATTTTTGAATGCCTTACTAGCAGGTTCCTGTCGCTCGCTATTTGTGTCCTGAATAGCGCGCTTTCGCTTGGCCACCGAAGGGGTTGCTGCTTTTACTTGTGTCGCGTCTATCCGAGGTGCGATGGGGACAAACCCCAGAGATTCTGTGGTGATACATATCAGCCGGCGCCTCGTATGTCCATAATTGCATGTTTACCAGTCTTTGGAACTGTCATTGGCTCGATATTCGGATTCTCTTTGAGAATGTTGAGCATCGCGCAGACCAATCGCTCTCGTACCTTTCTGTTGGTACATCCGGTTATCCCTTCGACGGCAACGATTTCCAGCTCTTCCCAGTTCAGGCCATCAATGAGCCTCATGCGCGCATCGGCGAAATCTTCATCACCGGACAGTTTAAGTAGCGCCTTCAGATACGAGCTCGTCATCGTGTAGATGCGCACACGTTAGTGTTGCTGTGGTGCGAGGTGAGTAGCCGGCACCGGATGTTTGTTGATGACGCCGGGCGGCATTCCCCGGCGGAGCTAAGGACTAGCGCATCGTCTGAAGCTTGGACCAGCGAACACCAAAGGTTTGCGAATCTGCATCGTGCCCAGCATCCTTCACACACGATTTTATCTCGCGGCCACTTCACAACAATGTTAAGGGCGAAATCACGCATCAACAAAGGGCTTAGATGATCGTCAGTAAGGCCAATAGCTGTGAGAACGCACACCATCAAACAGCAGATGATATTATTATTGTTGATTACACGGGTAATCTACCGCTCCGCCGTCTCACTCCTTTTCCGCAGCAGAAAAGCCCCGAACACCCTACTTGACCGCCCGATCAAAACAAACGAATAAGAGTCTATGTCGCGTCAGGATTTTCATGCCTTCCGTTTCGAGACTAATGTAGACTCAAGCATACCTGCTCATTTTCTGTCTCGCCGCCTGCCTCTTCGCCATTATCCTCCCATGACCCAAACAGCAATGGAATTCAGCGTCTTGCCTTCACGGAGCACTTCAGGTAGCGGGAAGACGCAGAGCTTTGTACCGGAACCATCAGCTACGACTCGTACACATAGGCGCTTTGTGCGAATGCAGGTGTCGCAAGCCCTATGCTCGTTTCCATGAGCCTTCTCGAAAGCAGAGTGAGCACACCCCCTCTGCCAGATGGCGATGTTGACGCATTTACCCTCGGTTTTATAGCGTGCTGCGTTCCTAGCCATCGCTCCATATGCCGCACGCTTGGGTCGGTTGAAAGCAAAGTCCGTCAGGAATCTTGCATGGATACTGCCACCCAATCCAAGGTCGCCAAGGGGCCGCCATTCCTCCTTCCCAAAAATGTCGATAACCCATGCACCTATCCTCATCTTTGGTACAGTGAAGGTTGTGGGGCGTATGTCGATGACATTGATGTCGGCGCTGGCGTCTGCGGGGGTCTCATCTTGTAGGTCGTGGCCATGTTTCGCGGTCGTACCCTCCCAGTCTTCATCGTCATCTTCTTCTTCTCCTTTGATACCGTCATTGGCCGCGCTCAGCGCGGCCACTTTGTGAAGTCGGACGTCGAAGTGATCTGCGTTTTCCGCAGCCTTCCTTTTGGGTTGGATTCTCTGCGATGATGTGCCAGATCTTGCGGGATCGTGCGCGTCGCGAGTGGGTGTATGTTGAGGTCGTATAGGATGCTGAAGGCCTGTGTAACCATTGATCAGTAAGCGATTCTCACTCAGTCTTCAGCTTCTTACTGTTTTTTGTGGCAGTCAACTCGGACGTCGCGCTCTGTTCTGCGTCGATGTGATGAAGCATTCTGTTGCTCAATTGCTCAAGTGTTTTGCGGGTGGTGCAGCGCTTCAAGCCGTCCTGGAGTAGAGTACGGAGTTCATCGTCGCTGAGACTTTGCACGAGCTTCAAGCGCGCGTCGGCGAACGCATGACCGGAGAAAGCGAGCAGAGGCTCGAGGTAGGATTTCGCCATATTCTGGATATTGAGCGCTTCGAATTCAGAATCGGATATGGTCCAGTGCGAGCGAGGCAAATTTCGATTTGTTTACATCCAGGCAGGTACGATGCGCTAGCGCCAGAAACGGGAATACGTCAGAGCAAACGGGAGCACCACCACGAGCACACATAACGTTAGAGATTGTCCATTCGTTAAGGGCTGATGGTGTGCATTTCGCAAATTGCGACACACGATTCAGCCATGCGAGACTAATTCTGTCATCCCCGCCGCCATCACCACCCCAAATTCGGCTGCGCGACGAAGTCATACACAAATACCTGCTCGAGCAACGGGTCCGTCTCATTCTGCGGCGATGTCAGCTTCAACACTTCTGCGACGACGGAAATGTCACATACTTTCAATTTATCATGCGTGGGATCTTTGTCAAACACCTGTCTCGCGGCTTCGTCCTACTCATCGTCAGCACTTGCGTCTCGCTTGCGTCACCATCCACTCCATACCTTGAAGACTACAACGAACCCCAAATCCCATACACTCTCCCTCTTCACGTTTGTCAGGTTCAATGGCGTATTCAGCGGTCTTCCTCCTTTTGGTCCTTCGATCAGCAGCTCCGGATGCTCAGCGTAAAGCGCGAGAAAGGCGGATGCGCGATCGCCTTTTTGCTCCGCGGTGACGTTGGGTAGGAACCGGAATGTCGCTATGCGCGTGACCGGGGATGTATCGGTGGAGTTGGGTGTTGAAGTGGACATTGTGAAGGAAGAAGCAAGGCTGAAGAGCGCGCCGAAGGCCGTAGGGAGGCGAAAGTGGAGTTGCATTGTGCTGAGGTAAAAGCGGCGGGGTATGCGCTTTAAGCAATGTAAGACGGAACAATGCTGTGCGACTTCTGCCAGGGCGTAAAACCATAAATGATGAATGCCGTTGTGCATGCAGTCGGTCGCGATGCTGACCGCGTATTGGTGCGCTAAACTTTAATCTGACCTGCATGCGGAGGTGGGGATACGCGGGCGGAGAGCCGAAGTCACCACATCACATTCGCATCGACGCACGTTGGCTGTCTTTGTGAATCTTGAACCTTTATTATACTATCACTTCTGAGAATACATGCAAGAATACCAATAAGATGTCTTCGTGCCGATCGCAGGAAAGAAGAAAAAGATGATTAAAGCAAAGATATGCAGCTGAGCGGCAATAGCAGAACAGAAGAACGCTTGAACACGGCGCCAGATACAGAAAAGAGATGAAAGTACTGTAGGGCAAGCCATTTTGACTTGCGCTCAGTGCGACGGCGATGAGAGTCCTGTGAGGTTCCAGTCGACTCAAAACCGCCCGACGATGAGGGTTAGTAAGAGGGTGGCAGATGAGCCAAGCCACTCTTGTGGCATTGATCCCATCGCAGCTGGATGATGGAAACACTTCTGTGCCCCAAACCTCTCCAGCTAGTATCCACCAAGTATCTTGGTGGTGGATGGCCGATGAGTCGTCAAGACCTTTGGACTTGCGCTCATCCCGACCGGCGGTCCAAGCCTCTATGGGTCTTGAACTCATCTCGGTCGTCAGCTGTCAAGTCTCTATGGACGGATTCAGCTGAGCCAATACAGTAGGTATGGTCCCGATGGGCGCGCCTCTCTGGGCGCGGCGACGAGGTGGTAGAGGTGAGCTCTTTGAGCTTGCACCTGGTCGACTGGGTGGTGAAGTCGCTCTGGACTTTGCACCAGCTCAACCGGCGGCCGTCAGCTGTCAAGTCTCTCTGGACGGATTCAACTGAGCCTAATTAGTAGGTATGACCCCGATGGACGCGCCTCTCTGGGCGCAGCGATGGGGTAGTGGAGGTGAGCTCTTTGAGCTTGCACCTGGCTGACTGGGTGGTGAAGTCTCTCTGGGATCTTGACCACCTTGGATGACGGCCGTCGATGTTCTTTGACATGATCGGCCGGAGTGGATGTCGGGATAGCTTGGATAGACGCGCGCATTGGGCGCGGTCATCGACGAAGGAAGCTCTTTTGGCTTTCGATCGGAAAATAGGTCGTGCTGACCCAGTAGAGACATGGTGAGCGATGGAAGCCTCTTGGACTTCAATGCATGTGAGTTATTGGTTGTTGAACTCGCGGTGTAGGTATGTTGACCACCGCTGGTCTGGTGTATTCCTTGGAAGATCAGCCCGGCGACTGTTGAAGATAGCCTGAACAATTGCGCTCTCTAGATCGGGCGACGACGAAGAACCGAGGCGCGACGCTGGGCGCTACTGCGCTTTTGATCCTTTGCGTCTTCATTATGGCGAGCCTCGCGCTGTTTTGCGACCACCTCCTTGGTCACGAACTTCTTGTTGCGACCCTGGCGCTCCACTTGCTCTACTTCGTCGGTGAGGCTGGCGGAGCGACGACGCTTCACACCAAGAGAGGAGGCGGAAAATGGCGTGGGAGACGGAGCTGGAGGAGCTGAAGGGGCGGAAGGCGACGGGGCGGACGATCCGGCAGCAGTCGCCTTAGCATGAGATAGTCGAGCAGAGCGACGCGGGTTGATCTCGACACGTCCGGACGACTGTGAGGTCGCTGAACCGGGAGGGCTCAGGAAGGACTGGCTGCCGAAGAGACTGCGGGAGAAAGAGTTCGGGAAACCTTGTGTCTGGCTGGAAGGGCTCTGCGACTGGCCCAGAGTCTGCTGCGACTCACCAAAGTACGTGGTGTCGGGCGTTTCTTGAAACTCGTTTTTGACACTTGCAACCGAAGACTGGAAGCCCGAAGAGTTGGAAGAGCCGATGGAGCTCTGGAAGCCGGAGGTGGCGTCCTCGGCCTTGATAGCGGGTGTGGAGGAAGGTACCTGCGTGACAGCAGGGCGGGTCCTCTTGACAGCGCCGAGGTTGTCGGCAGTGAAGGAGACGGCGCCGGGCTCCATCTCTTCGAAAGCGTTGAGGGTGCGCTTAGCGCTCGTGGTCGTGGCCTTTTCGGTCTTGATGGCGGGACCAGGCGCAGGCTTGGGATCGACCTCCAGGGGCGCGCGCTCGGCAAGCTCTTCTGTCGCGATATCGAGGTAGTCGTCAGCGCGCCCTCGATTGAATGAGGTCGGCTTCATGGTGTTGGCCGATCCGATCTTAGTCTCAATGGGTCGATCGATCTCGACCTTGACGGCAGGCTCTTTCGCGAACTTAACGGGGTTCTGGATCTCGGCCTGTACAGACTGCTCTTTCTCGACCTTGACCGGCGTCTTCACAGCTGCGACTGACTTCTCTTTCAGAGGCCAGCCCTGAAACATCGAGTTCACGCTGATGGGCATCGGCGGTTGCAACACGGATGGCGAGACTGGCTCGTTCCACGGAACGTCCATGAATGACTCGTTGATGTTGCGAGGCTTGCCGAACCGCGAGAAGGTGTCGGGATTCGATCGACGAAGCATCCTCACGGGTGATTCCGAAGTCGCGCTCTGGTCCTTGAGCTGAGCCCGCCTATCGCGAAGACGAGCACTGTTGTCGAGATCCGCCTGGAGGTTGGGACGCTTGGGGTCGAAAGGGATGGGGTACGCCTCGAGCTTGTCGTTGAGGTACCGGGTGAGCTCTTGGGAACAGCCGGGGGAGAGCTTGACGCCATGCTTCTCGAGGATGTCCTTGATGTCATGCGAGAGATGGTGAGGACTCTGCTTGAGCAAGAAAGCTCCTGTGCGACAAGTCAGTATACGGAAAGACGCACAGAGACGCGAGCGCGGAGGTGCTTACCGGTGACGGGGCGCATCTTGAGCGCGGCCTGCTGGTTGCTGGAAGGAGTGGAAGACATCGTCAGAATGGATGTGAAAGAGTGTGACGTATGTGGATATTGATGAAGAAGCTTGGTAGAGAGTGTGCTTTGGAATGCGAGCGGCTGTGATAATGCGTGGAATGCGGGAAGCGGGTGGTATATAAACAGTGATGGTCTGAGCTGTCGCGAGGTTTTCTCGCGGGCGGGGTACTGCGGACTTATATCGAAATGATGTTGTGATTGCCTAGAGGCAGGTATTCACTATGTGGTCATGGGTCGCAAGCACAATGTAAAGCGCGATGTCGGCGCAAGCGACGCCTGAAGCAATGAATATGTCGCAACTCTATTCCGAATCGCGTATCCGAATAATTCATTGCGAAAACATTCTTGATTTTGGCGCTGGGTGGGGCAGCTAGGTGACGGGGCGCGCAGTCACGTGTTGTGACATTCACATCGATGAAACCGTGTTTGGTGTTCAAACCCGCAACCGCATTAGCAAACCTGCCGCTGTACCTTCGTATTCAAGAAGCGCATCTATGGTTCGCTTAGCGCATGACTTCGTGCTGCGCACGCAGCTTCAGTATATTGACCTACCACAGGCATGTATAATCAAATCATCTACTAGCTCTCTAGTCGCGAAACCATGGTCCGAAATTCAGTTCGGAAAACCCTAATGTTTTCGTGGCAATGCGCATATGGATCGTTCGCCCTCCAGCTCTCTTCCTCCATCTTCTCGCGGGTCGCCATCACGGTAAGGCAGTGACGTTGGCGCAGGCGTTCGCACTTCCCTACCCCGATTGAATTGTGCGTGGAAGTTCTCGCATTCACCACATACGGCAACCACCACCTCGTCCACCACGATACGAAGTGCAGTCACCCACCTCCTCTGTACACTCCGCGCACCATCTTCGCGTTCCGTTGGTATATTATCGCGCAACTGTAGTCAGCAACCTTATAATAATATTACACTACTTAGAGTAGTCACAGCACTTATTGTATACCTCAACATCCAAGATGGTTGACAAGATCGGGCGCCCACGCAAAGCTGTAGGCAGCAACGACCCTTCCGGAAAGGGCGATAGCGCTCCGAGAGGCCGCCAACAACGCGAGGCCTCCTCACATACATCACAATACTACAGCGCTCACGACGGGTTTGAAGATGCGCCCATGCTATCAGCACTAAGCGCTTCACAACAGCGCCATTTTGAAGAGGCGCAAGCGGAACCAGAGCCACGAGCTCGTCCGGCCAATATCCGCACCAGCACCGCCGCTGAGTCGTACATCGGTGCCGACGAAGACGGAACCCCCTCTCAGGCCGCATCCGCTTCCTCGTCTTCTTCATCGAGCTGGGAAGATCTTCCTTCCTCTGCCACGGCATCCCTCCCAACAGCCACACCCTTCCCCGGCACCTGGCCCGCCGCACTTCACGACACCAGCGCCGCGCTGTCCGAGGTCTCCACTGCAACCCTCTCCTTTGCCAGCGCCATCGCATCCTCGGGCCTCGGCCGCGCATCATGGAGTATCGGCGCAGCAACTCTTTCCTCCACCAACCGCGCGGCCCTATCTTTCACCGCCTGGGGCATGGAGAGAACAGGCGTCATGCCGAATGAGCTTCCTCGGCCGATGAGGAGGTGGGTTCAAGGGAAGGAAGACGAGGATAGAAGGAGGAGACAGGCTGAGCAGAGAAGGAGGGACAGGAGGAGACGGGAACGGGACGGACAGGTGTTCACCGGAGGAGTGGATGAGGAAGGGGGGTACGTGCTGGCTACGCATGAGATGGACGGCACGCTGAACTTTGAGGGTAGGGGACCTGTGGATATGCGGGAAGAAAGAGGTGAACAGGAAGGAGAGCAGGAATTCGCGGCGGGAGGACCGGAAGAGATCGAGGAGCGAGAGGCCGAATATGAAGACGATGGCCTCACGCGAGTGTTTGAGTTTGATGATGATGAAGACTTATGAGAGACGGTGGTGAATAGACGAAGAAGCATGCGATGCAAATGTATACATGACAATATATGATGAAG